GACGTGCGGTATGCCAATGAGCAACGGATGGGAGAGGCATCACAGCGCGCACCGCCTCCACCCCTCTCGGGCAAAGATGTGACACAGGACCAAAGCAGATCCAAGGTCTTTTCCCCTCTAGTGTTACAGGTGACGAACTGGGTAAAGTTGGTCAGGGTCCTTGAGATTTTGGCATGGTTAAAAGCACCAACGTGCCTGCTCTGGTTTCATGCCTTTGTCTCCTTAACTCCACCGGGATCTCCTTCGGCATGGAATACGTAAGTCCTGATACTGGAGGAGGTCCTCACGTGAGTAACCCCCAGCGCTTTGTTGTGTGGTGGTCGCGGTTTCTGCACATTGTTTATATATAAAAACTAAAGTTCTACTAAAGGTAAAATAAAATAAAAAATAAACTACCAACACTGTTGGTCTATTTATAAGAAATAAATACAGTGCTATTTAGAAGGAATAAAGAAGGAAGTAAGATTTAAGGTGAAAATAGAAAGGGGGAGCGGGAGCTGTTGTGTCAAGCTGCCAGTTATAACATCAAATGACTAATTACAAACAAACCTATAAATAAATGGACAGTATATCATGTTAGATTGTAGTGTAAAAAATGAATGCATGAGTAAGTTTTACTTTCTATGAGACCCCTTTCCTATAGAGCAGCCGGGGTAGTTCATAAGTGCACATGATTGTTCATAAGTGTACTTGGTACTAGAAAACTATTTGCCAAAGACTAATGATCGACTTTGTGGTCATATCATTAGATCTGCAGCCTGGTGTTGAATTGGATCAGATAGATGGGGAGGTTGCTGGACAGATCTGGTAAACAAACTGGGAATGGCTGGTTTCTCCCTGGCTGTGAGGTCTTCAGCTTCCACCTCCAGAAAAATTTCTCTTGGTAAGAAGGTCAGGTGGTTGTCGCAGTGGCAACCTAAGAACAAGAGGGTGGCCACACTTGGATGGCCCAGAGGCCCTGACAGAGTTCTCTGAGGTAGTTAAGAAGCTTCTTGGTTGCACTGTGCTGGGTGTGGATAAGATTCGCCTTGAGCTGAAGGGTCTGGACATTGTTGGGCTGTCTTGGCTGACAAACCTCTTTAGTGCTATGTGGAAGTTGTGGTTTCCATTTTCAAAACAGGGGACTGTTGGGTGTACTCTAATTATCTTGGTATACAATTCTCAGCCTCCCCAGGAAAGTTTATTCCAGGGTGCTGGAAAGGGGGTTCTGACTGATTGTTGAACCGCCGATTCAGGAAGAGCAATTCAGATTCTGGCCTGGCCGTAGACCAGTAGCCCAGCTATTTTTTTGGGGTTACTTCCAAATCTTCGTGTATTTTGTGGACTTGGAGAAGGCTTATATATTATTATATTATGACGGTGTCCCTCAGGGAATCCTGTGGGGCATACTGCGGGTGTATGGGGAACTGGGGGCCATTGCTATGAGCCATCTGGTCCTTCTATAACCAAAGTGAGTTAAACACATTTTCAGTGGGTGTTGGATGCCACCATGTAGCAAGTCCCGCTACAACTGTGGGCTCTCTCAGCACACAAACCCAAAACAGACCACAGGCCACACACACTATTTACAACACTTAGCCTGCTTCAAAAGTCCATGAAGTTTTCTCCAGTTGTCCTTTCTGTTGTGTGTGTTGGACTTCTCAGGTCCAGCACACTACTGCATAATACCGCTGAGATAATCAACTCGCAAGCCTTCCCCACACCTCTCCCCCGTCCCTCTCTCCCGTAGCTGATTGTAAACCACACCCACCTCCACACACCAATGTTGCCTGTTGTCTCTAATCCTGTTTGTGATATTCACAGAGAGGCTCTCACGGCACAGCTCGGTTGAGTAGAGTGTCCAGTTTTGGCACCTCAGAGTTTTGTCTCTGCTTTTTGCAGACAATGTGGTTCTGATGGCTTCATCAGACTGAGACCATTAGCATATGCTAGGGTGTGGAGGTGGGTGTGGTTTGCAGTCAGCAAGTCTGAGGGTTGTCTGCTGGAAAATAGTGGATTGCTCCCTCTGGGTTGGGAGTGAGTATCTCAGGATCTTATTTATGAGTCATGGTAAAATGGAGGTCACATACAGCTACTCCTTGTGACTCAAAGAACGAGATTGCAGAGACAAGTGGCTGAAATGAGTTTCCTGTCCCCAGAACTCGCTAAAGGGGATTATATATCTCATCTGCCATGGGAATGCCTTGAGATCCCCCGTGAGAAACTGGAAGGCGTTGCTGGAGAGAGGGATGTCTGGTTGGATGGATGAACGGATAATTCAGATTCAGATTCAGATTCAGAAATACTTTAATAATCCCAGAGGGAAATTATATTCGTTACATACTCCAGATACAAATGACATATTA